TTTTTTTTTTTTTTTTTTTGGGACAAAAGAAGCTAACAAATGGTACAAGATTGGCTTACAAGGCACAAGCTCCATGTAACGATTCTTTATCGTATTCACATTGTCTAGAGCAACTCTGCAACTATTCGTAATGTTTGAACATTTATTCCAATTTTCCTGGATAAAAATTAAAAAGAAGAACACAACAAGAATGAGAGACTTCAAACACAATAAATGAATAAAAGAACACACACAAACACAATGGAGCATGTCAGGCATATATATTATATATTCATGAAGAAAGGAGCATGTTTGGCATATATATTCAAGAAACACACGCAATGTTTTTTTTTTTTTCCAGTCTAATACATATTCTTTTATTGTAAGGCTGAAAAAAATTATCTTTTATTTCAGGTAATATATACCTCTAATGTCCGAAACTCGTGATGGATCGTATCGGGAGAGCTCAATCTGTCGTGGAAGAAGTTTAGAGCTTCCGAGCAGCTGCGCAGCTCATCCTCCGACAGGCACCGACTCGCCATACTCAAACTCACTATCGTATTTTTGTGTTATCTATTTTATCTATTTTGTTTTCATATTATACGTGTCGTGTTTCGGTTTTGTTGCCATGCTTAGCTCGTCGTGTCATTTCTCTATATAATCGTGTTTTCGAATCGCGTCGTGTCATTTCAGCCATTTGTTACTCTATCAAAATTAGGAAAATATTAGTGTGGCTATGAGCAATGGCTATAAAATGTAGGATGGCAAAGGCTAATCTCCAATGTGTAGATTAAAGAAATTCAGTACATGGGAAGGCTAAATTGTAGAACGTAGTGTTGAAATTTTAACTTAGCATCTGCCTAATTCAAGATTTGCAATTTATTACTACATACTAGGTGGGGAAAGGAGTATGATTAAACTTGGTCAATGGAGATTGAAATGGAGCTTATCTATTAAAAAAAATAATAATAAGAAATGTGTGTATAACTCTTCAAATTTTATAAAAGTAATTTCTAAAAGTAAATAAATATGGAATTTCACTAAACTTTTTAATATTTTAAAAATCATAGTTTATTTTATTTAGATTTTTTAAGAATTTAAAAGTCTTGATATATTCATTTGAGATTTAAAAAATGTCTTCAAAATCTTGAGATATTTGACTTGCTTGAGACTTTAATTTGCTAGAATTTTTAAAATTTACTGAAATTTCAAAATTAATAAAAAAAAAAATCAATTCTCAATTCAATTGAAAAGCTTTTGATCTATTGAGATGTGGGTTTGGTTTCATTCTAAATCTTTTTACTTGCTATATCTAAATAGGCATATGTCTAGAGTAGAGGTAGCAAATCCGCACGGAAATCGAAAAACCGAACCAAATCGAACCGAACCGATATGTTTGGTGCGGTGCGATTCAGTTTTTAGAAGGTCCGGTTTGCGGTGCAGTTTGAATTTTAGAAAACCACAAAAATTTTGGTGCGACTAGGTTTTAAGTCTGAACGGTGCGGTTTTAATCAAGTTGCACGGAAACTTTGATGTATCAAATAAAATTGCTAGTATATTACCTTAAACTCTTAAAGCGTTACATAATTTTCAATTTAAAAATAATTAACTTTAAAGTTTAAACATAAAAAAATTAGTAAACTTTGATTTGTGTTTGACTTAAGGTTTAATTTGTATGACTTGAACTTTAGTTTGTGTTTTCATATATTTTTTTATTGCAGTTATTCGAGAAACCAAACCGACGGTTCGGTTCGGTACGGTTCTTGCGGTGTGGTTCTGTACAAATTTTAGATTTTCGGTTCTGATTTTTGCCGGTGTTGTTCGGCTTTTGACCTAAGTGCACCGATGCTCACTCCTAATCTAGAGTGTGCATACATTTATTTATTTGATAAAGACACTTGTATTAAAAGCAAGAAATTTCGGACATAGTTATAAAATAGTAGAATATCATGTGCACATGCACAGATGTACATAAAATATTAGTAAGTAATATTTAAGA